CTCCTCCGGAGCGGTTGTAGCGGCCCAGATGAGTCAGATGGGTTAAAGGCTCAGCTAGAAATCCTCAATCTTTCGATCCACCTACAGCGTGTGATAGAGCTGTTATGTATGACGCAACGGGCGCGGGGTGTGAGCGCGCACGTTCACGAGCAGTGTGCTTAACTGACTTGACCCTTGAGCAGCTGAGCCATAAGCAATCTGTGGGTCGACCAGGTGAACGGCGCTCTTGTCAGAAGCCTTTTTTTTCTTCATACAAGCGTTCGCAATATGACCCACTTTCTTGCAGTATCTGCACTGCGACGTGCGGAACCTGCATGAACCCGGGTTGTGGAGCTCTTCGATGTGTGTGAGCGCGCACGTCCACGAGCAGTGTGCTCGAGCGAGGGTTCCTGAAGCGATCGGACAGAAGACCGGCCGTGTTGGACACCGTTCCTCAGTATTAAATGATGTACATATAAACTGGCGACGAGTAAGACGACGGACCTGCTGCCTCGGAAAACATGGCTACCCACGGCTCCATGAAGGAGTTCTCCGGAAAGGGCTGGACGTCATGGGCGGAGCGGCTACGATATTACTTCGAAGCAAACGGCATCGGGGACGACCCAGAGAGGCGCGTCGTGCTCCTGACACTGTGTGGTCCGACCACTTTTGAAACAGTGAAAGCACTGGTGGCACCAAAAACGCCAAGTGAGTTTTCCTTCGAGGAACTCGTCACCTTGCTCCAAGTTCATTTCGATCCGCGCCCGTCGGAGCTCTTCAAGCCGGTGCAGATTTCAACGTAGAGACCAGCTACCTGATGAGACCGTGACTGCATGCGTTGCAGCTCTAAAAAAAACTGGCTGCAGATTGCAATTTCGGAACGGTACAGCCGGCTGCGACCAGCACCTCTACAGCTGACCTGCCAATCCGATCGAACGCCGTGGACTCGGCTGGAACTGCGGCAAGTGGTGCGACGACCACCTCGGTCAACGTGACAATGCTCCCTATGGATATAATGCTTCGCGATCGTTTTGTTTGCGGGCTTCGGGACGAACACCTGCAACAACGCCTCTTCGCAGAAAGGAACCTGACGTTTCTCAAGGCCTTTGATATAGCCATACGGGCGGAGAACGCCAAGGATCATCAGCGACAGATGAAGCAAGACTTCCAGGAGGTCAACAAAGCAGAAAAATCACGTCTGACACACCAACGGCCCGACGAGGCCACCGCAACCTCTTCAACGCCGTGTTACCGGTGTGAAGAGCTCCACAACCCGGGTTCATGCAGGTTCCGCACGTCGCAGTGCAGATACTGCAAGAAAGTGGGTCATATTGCGAACGCTTGTATGAAGAAAAAAAAAGGCTTCTGACAAGAGCGCCGTTCACCTGGTCGACCCACAGATAGCTTATGGCTCAGCTGCTCTAGGGTCAAGTCAGTTAAGCACACTGCTCGTGAACGTGCGCGCTCACACCCCGCGCCCGTTGCGTCATACATAGCAGCTCTATCACACGCTGTCGGTGAATCCAAAGATTGAGGATTTCTAGCTGAGCCTTTGACTCATCTGAAACCTGTGTAGGAGTTAGAATACGACAGCCTAACGAAAAATGAGAGGGAGTCAATACGTCTGGCTCATAGGAACTGGAGCAAATGAAAGTAATCGGTCTTGAATTCACAACCGCTTCGGTTTCAGACGGCAAGGTGCCCAGCTGTTGGAGTTCGAAAGACCCCTTTCCCAATAATTTGTGAAGGCACGTCGTCACTATTTCAATGAGCCTATCCCAAAAACCACCCCACCGTGGCGCTCCTTCTGCAATAAATCTCCATGTTACATGATGACTAGCATAGTACTTTTAGAGCGCAGCTCTTAGGGGCCCGTTTCCGGCTTGAGCGGCGTCGGCGTCGGCGCAACCGCGAGGTCACGTGACCCCCCCCCCGAGGTCACGTGACCCACCCAGGTCACGTGACACCCCTAGGTCACGTGACATCCCTAGGTCACGTGACCCCCGAGGTCACGTGACCTAGGGGTGTCACGTGACCCCCAGAAGTCACGTGACCCTCTGGTCACGTGACCCCCTGAAATCACGTGACCCCCTTGAGGTCACCTGACCCCCTTAGGTCACGTGATCCCCTGAGGTCACCTGACCCCCAGAAGTCACGTGACCGCCTTGAGGTCACGTGACCCCCTAAGGTCATGTGACCCTTCAGGTCACGTGACCCCCAAAGGTCACGTGAGCCCCTGAGGTCACGTGACCTCCGGGGGTCACGTGACCTCAAGGAGTCACCTATCCCTCAGTACGCTTCCATCTTCCTCCTCAAGAGCTGCGCTCTAACCGGCGCTACAGGGAATTTTAAACGGCTTTCATTTTTTTCACTTCATCTTCTCTCAGCAACTGGTGCATTGCAGCTAGTTCTCTTGACGCTCTTTTAAAAGTTGCAGCGTTATCCGAGAACACAACTCGCGGGGTGCCACACCTGGCGCAGAATCTTTTAAAAGATCATAAGAAAAGAGTCTGCCGTAAGGTCTACGACAAGCTCAAGATGAATAGCTCTAACGACAGCACAAGTGAATAACACAAAGTACGCTTTCACTACGCTACAGTTTTTCACGAAAATGGGTCCGACAAAGTCTGCTCCCGTAACTTCGAAACGACGAGAGCTTAGGACTCGGTCACTTGGAAGGGGAGCCATCGGCGCACTTGCCGCTTTAAGGCGGAACCGGGCACAAAGTAGACACTTTCCAGTAACCCGTTTAACAGCCTGTCGTGCACACGTGACCCAAAACCTAGCGCGCAGTTCACTTAAGGTGTCACCGACCCCTCCGTGGAGCACCGCTTTGAGCATGTAGAACAATCAGTCTTGTCACAGAGTGTTCACCTGGAAGTAGTACGGGGCTTTTCTCGTTGAAGGACACCGCCGCGTTTTAAAGGCGACTCCTAATTCAGACGAGTCCTTCGTCACCAATAAAAGAATGGAGGTCTCGTATTGGCGAAGTATTTTCCAGGTTTTCTCCTTTGATTAGTTGTGGCATTTCATTTACAAATGCTTCTCGCTGTACTTGACGTAACCAGACGTTTTCGGCTGCTTGAAGTTCCTGGGCCGTAAGTGTACCTTCTTGACGAGTCGTCGGTGACCGGCAGTTGTATGTGAAACGCTTTACCCAAGCTGTCGCTCTTGTCATCTTTGTCCAAGTGCTGTACTTGTCAAGGCTGAAAATCGGCTCATTTGCCACGCTTACGAGAACTGGAACATCACGATTCAATTCTAAGATCGCATCATTATCCACCTCTGTAGACTCGACGAGAGCGGTTATCCCAGGCCAGGATTCCTGTGCTCTTGATAGCCATTCAGGTCTTCTCCACTAGAGGTCGTTTGTTAAAAGTTCCTTTAAAGAGAGTCCTCTAATCAAGAGATCCGCTGGATTCTCATATCCAGGGCAATGGTTCCAGTGGGATGGATCCGTTGCTGTCTGTATTTCTGACACTGTTAGAAACAAACTGTTTCCACTTGGCTGCAGGACTTTGGATCTAACATAGAGTGACAGTTGAGTCGGTTCACAAGTAGTAAATCATGTTCCCATGCTTTTTTGCCGGCGTCTCTTTCAGGAACTTCATTAAACGAGCGGCCAGAACTGCCGCAACTAGTTCCAAGCGAGGAAGGGTGACATGTTTTATAGGAGCTACCCTACGCTTTGAGAGCAAATGTTGGACGCTCACATTTTCGATTGTATCGTCGACCCTGAGGTAGGTCACTGCGCCATATGCACTCGAACTAGCGTCTGCAAACACGTGAAGTTAGTGGAGTGCGGAGTTATCTAAAAAGTTCTTCAACCCACATCTGGGAATCGAAAATGTCTGTAATAACCTGAATTCTTCACACCATTAGTCTCATTCTTTCTGTAATACTCTAGGCATGTCTTCTTCCCAATCGATGCCGTGTTCCCAAATTTTCTAGAAAAGGGCTTTAATCCTGATGAGAAACGAAGACAACCATCCCAAAGGGTCAAACAGTCGCGCTGTCGTCTGAAGAACAAAGCGCTTAGTGTTGTCTTTGTCTTCGAAGAACTCCAGCGTTGTCTCGACATTAAGGTGAAGCCGAAGACGGTGCTACTCCCTTTCCAATGTGTCGTTGAAGCGCCTCGTCGGTTGTGGTCCATTTCTGAAGCGTCATGCCAGCTTCCTCAAGGATAACTTTAGCTTCTATGTAGACACGAAATGCCTCGTTTGAAGTCGAAACTCTCGTGGCTAGATCGTCCCCATAAAAGTTCTCGCAGAGCAGCCTCGTTGTGTTTTGAAAAGCTACTTCCATACGCTTGAAATGGTGCTGTAATGTCGCTGTCAGTAGAAATGGACTTGCCGTCGTTCCGAAAGGTACGCGAGTCATCCGATACTCTTCCACCTCAGGCAGGGGATGGCCAGTCTTTGGCATGTGCTCAAACCAGAGGAATCGTAGAGCGTCTCTGTCGGTTTCTCTAATAGATATTTGAAGAAAAGCCTTCTGAATATCTGCCGTGAGACCTATCTTGTGCAGCCTGAAGTTCACGCCTGAAGTTGATCGACAAGTCAACCGTTTTTACGGTGAGTAATCCCAATTTCCTCGATACGTCTTCTCTTATGAAAGTTCTCTGACTCCCGTTGTCGAAGACTCCTCTGATGTAGCACGACTGGCTTTCGTTCAACAACCACGCTCGAAATGTCCTTAGAGCATGTGCGTATCCACTGAGCTCGTGGATGCATCCTTGGTTGCCCCGTGCATGTTGGCGCTCTCCTTTTCGCGTGAGCTTTGCTTTGTACATCGGATCGCAAACAACAGTAGCGTGCCTGCCCCTGCATTCTGAGCAGTGCACGTTACGGCGGCGGTCTCTCGCCCGATGTCGAATAGCAGTACACTTAAAGCACCTACCTGCCTTTGCTAGACGGCTTTTCTTCTCCTGCAGATTGATTTCAGAAGAACAGTTCTCGGTGGTGTGCGTTGGCGAAAGGCACAAAAAGAAAAAAATGACACTCTGCTGCTTAGCCGCGTGATTATGAAGCACCGTCCCTGAAGGTAGATGGCTGCTGTATGGAGCCTCGTGTGTCGTCAGGCAGACTTCGTTTCGTGAGTGCGATGAGCCCAGTTTTCTCGCGGGCTTCCACTTCTATACGCAGACAGCATAAGAGTTGTTCAAGCTCTGCTTCTGACGACTGATTTTCTCTTGTGTTCTCTTGGAAGCTCTGCCGTTTATAATATTCGACAACGATGTCACTTGGGATTCCTTTAGTGAGAACCTCTAATAACATTGCTGCGTACGACAGCTCCGCCAGACCCAGCGCTTTTAGGCCTCTCACATTAATCTGTACGCTGTTCAGGAGTTCCCCTAGTTCAGTCACGTCACCAGATGACTTTACTGGCTTCAGCGTTATGAGGTTGGCAAGGTAAGCTCGCTGGATAATTTTTACGCTTCGAAATCGTTTTTTCAAAATTTCGATTGTGACGCAGTAGGATGCCTCGCTCACCTGGACTCCTGCAATGGCTTTCTCTGCGGGTCCACTCTGCAGAATCTTCAAGTAGTGATACCGATCAATGTTGGTCAAATGGTTGTTTGCGTTAACAGTACGGCAAAACATATCCCAAAAGGGTTGCCATTGGGATACGGTTCCGTCAAAACAAGGAAGCTCTAGTTTGGGAAGTCTTGCACCTACCCGCCCTGGACCTCCGTGATCGCCGTGACCATTCGGTTGTGCGCTCGGAGTAAGTGGGAAGCCTTCGTTTTGTTGATCGATTTCTCGGGCCGGTGGGCATGGAGCTTGGAGCGATTCCATGTGATGGCGGAGCCGCGCCAAGCTCGCAGCTGCGTTGTCCTCGTATTCGCTTACTGAAGCGAAATCCTCTGCAGCCTGTTCGTCTGTGAGAAAGGCCTCTAGTTGCTCGTTGAGCTTCTGCAGGCCGTCATTGCAAGTCTTCAGTCTATCGCTCAAAACCCGCAGAGCAGCAAGGCTGAGCTGGTTAGAGTCGGTGACTTGTCTTGCTTCGGTTCGTAGACGTGTACGCAGAGCCCGCTGGGTGGTTCGCTTGCTTTTCACGCGTTCCATGTCGTTAACGGTGACGATCTTTCCTCTCGGTTGGGTCAGTAAGGTAGCAGAGTCCCGGGTTTCGGCACCAATGTTTCATGTAGTTAGAGGAACGATGTCCACGGTGTAAAAATATGGAACGTCGCGTTTACTTCGCAGATAGGTACAGTGCTCACCGCTGCCTCGATCGTCTCAAAGTCCCCTTGTAGTGTTGCAAAATAGCGACATCTACGGGAGTGTGTAAATAAATGGGGCGGCTCGAGGAGCTCGCTCAGAGATTGGCCCGAACGTTGACCCGACGACATGTCTCTTTGATCCGACCTCCGGCCCGGCTTGCGTCATGGGGCCCCGTTGAGCAGCCCGGTGAGTTGCGCCCTTGCCGGCCACCCTCGTCCTTGACATGTAGCTGGACCAGGGGGGATCGTCGCGTGTACCCCCCCTAAAACATAACATAATTTTGGCGACGAGGTTATCTTTCTATGTTTCGGTTGAGGTCGCTGTTCCGAAGGATAATTACTGGCATAGGCGCCCGGTGACTATCGCGGTCCTGATTCTTCTTTTTGTGGGTTGGTTCCCTGTGAACACAACGATTGTCAAGTGTTGTTCGCGGACGCGGTTTGCCGGGATTGGGCCCTCGCCAAGAAGCCTTGTTCGAACGAACGAAGGAACGAAAACAAAATGGCAGTCATGGCGGCCGGCCTTCCCGATTCTCGCAACATGGCGGTTAACCCCTCGTATTGAAGGAAGAAAAGGACGAAGTATTGAATTTCGGATTTTCGGATTTTCGGATTTGTGACATTGCAAATCGAAATCTTTCGCTTGAAGGATTATGAATCCGACTCGATCGAACACCTAGGTCGTTATGTTCCAGCTGTTTTGTGGTTTGCATTTCCGACCGGTGTTCTCGTCTTCACTGCAGTACCATAGCCCGAAACTTCATTCTTTCGAGAACGTCTCTACATTATGAACTAGTGTGAGCAGGTTCCTGTTATCGTAAATACTGTTTCGTGACGGGATTTCGTTCACCTAGTTGGGTTTTGAGGCAGTTGTGTCCCGTTCGTGCAAGCGTACCATTTACAGCTTTTGCACTTTGACGTAGACTTGAAACACCATACAGAGGTTTACGCCTGAAAAGATTCGGTGTATTAATACAGTACGCCGCACAAGGCTACCCGAGTCTTTTACAGCCGTTTACCTACATTCACTTACGGACTTGTAGTCTTGTCTCTTTGAAATTCAACCTTGTCAGTTGTGACCGTGTCCACACGTTGTGAACGCGCGACGTACGTCACACATGTCTTTTGCATAACGGTGTTATTGCTCACCATCGGTTTCGTCAGTCAACCTGGTGAGGTTCAAAGTCGTTGATAATAAGTTGTCAACGGTCATTCGAAAGTGTGCTGCACGTGACAATCTCTCTGTACGTTGCGCACAAAAGCTCACGCGAGGTCATAATTCTTTTTGGTGTCCCGGACACGATTCCATCTTGGGTTGAAACTCGCCTTGAGTATACATGCTCCTCATTGGCATTTGAGCAATTTTTTTGTTTCTTTCGTCATCTTCGGAAACAGACTTTGAAATACTCCTTATACCTGCAGTTACATAATGGAAAACACACAGCACATTACAGTCATACAGTCTGCGGCATTACCTCCACCTGCACCATTCCTTGCAGTCGCTGGATCGCCACCGCAGGCATGGCCCGCATGGAAGGAAACGTTCCTGTCATTCTTAGGAGCGTCGGGTCTTGAGCAAGTAGAGCCCAGAAGAAAGAAACAGCTCTTGTTTTCGTTGCTGGGAGTCGAAGGGCAACGTGTAGTGGCTGCTTTTGGGTTAACAAATCTTCCTGCTACAGAGCTTCATGATGAATTCGACACATTCATGACGGCGGTAGAAAAGCATTTTGTGTTCTCCGGCTCGCTCGCGCTGGAACGTAAGAAGTTACGCAGTCGCGTACAACAGCCCGGTGAAAGTGTCACCGAGTATCTCGCGGCACTGCGCCGTCAGTATGACCTTTGTGCATTCCAAGAGCAGTCAGACGAACGTATGTGTGACTTATTCCTCGATGGTTTGGACTCCCGTCGTGTCCAAGACCGGATCTTAAGAGAGTGTGTGGACACACAAGTGCCAACACTAGATCGTGCCGTACAGTTGGCCCTCCAGTTTGAGCAGTTAGCGCTTACATCTCAACAGTATCATCAGTCTCGTCGAGCGGTGCCTGACGCCCCTAATTCCACTGCCCCGGTGCAGTATGTTGCGGTGCCCAACACCGAACGCGCACAAGTGACCAGTCACGAAAGTCGGCAATCTCCGGTTTTCCCGAGAGACGAACATTCAGCTATGCAGAGTGCAGGTTTTCCGGCATGGTCATATGAGCCGACCACGTCTGCACCAAGGTTCCATCGAGGACATCCTGCTTCAGCTCATGCATCTCGCCCATCGGGACGACAGAGTTACATGCAACGTCGTGACCTGCCTCCCGCGAGGTACGGACCACAGCCAAACACCTCCTGCTGGTTTTGTGGTCGGGGAACCCACTCAAGAGAACATTGTCCTGCATTGAGCGCACAGTGTTTCATGTGCGGTAAGATGGGACACTTTGCGATAGTTTGTCGCAGCCGTGCACCACCACCTGCCGCGGACGGTGATCGCCGTCGTCATCCAGCCTCAAGCCTAGGACGACGACAACTCTCCAGACGTCCATGGAGGCCTGATTCGTCAGCAGCAGCATCAGCGTACAACTACAACGTTACCACGGACGACATCCCAGTTCGGTCTCTGGAACCGCAGGCTGAGGATCACAGCCAGTACAACCAGTTCATCGCAGATGTCAAGGTAAATGGAGTTCCTCTCAATCTCCTCATTGACACGGGATCGCATGTCTCCATTTTAAATGAGAAGATCTTCCAGCAAATTAACAGAGCTCGGAATATACGTCTACAGCGACCACGAAGACGTCTCATGCACTACATGCATCAGCCAATTCCAGTATTAGGTTGCTTCCTTGCTCAAGTCAAGTTCAGAAATAAAGAAGCGCCATTAGAGTTCTACGTTATTCGGGGCGGGAGATCACTACTTGGCATTGATGGAGTACGAGAATTGAAGATGACCATGTCAGGCGCGGAATTTGAATGTTCCTACGTTGATGCAGCTGTCCAAGGACCAGCAGCAAGTCACCCTGTGAGACCGGCCGACGACTCCCGGAGGACTCCGTTCACCGTGTCGTCACAGCAGTCCAGTGGTTTCGGATCAAGTCAACCGTATGCCCCAGGCAACGAATCGTCTTCACTACAACCGGGTGTCCACTTCCGCTGGCAGAATTCAAGGGTACCAACCGTTCATGGCGACGGACCATCGCGACCAGTACTTTCAAGTATCAACGCTCCACGATTCTCATCTACAGGCACAGACGTCGTGGACATCGAGTCTACAGAGGTGAAACAACCAGTTGTCACCAGTTCAAGGTCTTCTTCAAACCCGCCAGCACGGGACACATCAAAGCTGCCTCCTGGGTTCACGGAGTTCGAGCACTTGTTCACGCCAGAACTTGGTCTGGTACGGAACCAGACGCATACTGTAAAAGTACGCCAGAACGTGCCTCCTGTACAGTCAAGACTACGTCGTCTGCCGATCACCCTACGTGATGCAGTTTCCGAAGAAATTTTCAAACTTGAACGTCAAGGAGTCATCGAGAGAATCAACGCCTCGGAATGGGTCTCACCAATCGTAGTAGTTAAGAAAAAGGACGGCAGCATCAGGATGTGTGTCGACCTGCGTGCGCCCAACCAGGCCGTCGTCACAGACTCTTTCCCTTTGCCACACATCGATGAGCTCCTCAACTCTTTACAAGGAGCATCACACTTTTCCAAGCTGGACCTAGCATCCGCGTACCACCAGATCCGACTCGACCCGGTGAGTCGAGATCTAACTGCATTCATTACTCATGAAGGACTCTTTAGATTTAAGAGAGTATGTTTTGGTTTGGCATCCGCTCCTGCAGCGTTTCAGCAGATAATGTCAAAAATCCTCAAAGAATGTAAAGGAGTGCAGTTCTACTTGGATGACATTATAGTTTACGGATCCTCTCAGAAGGAGCATGATCATAACTTGCGAGAGGTGCTGTCAGCTATCTCCCGAGCGGGAATGAAGTTAAACAAGAAAGGTGTGTTCAATGTACGCGAGCTCTCATTTCTGGGCCATAGTCTGTCCATGGACGGGTTAGCACCCCTTCCATTAAAGGTAGACCACGTTCAGAATTTTGAAGCTCCCTCAGATGCAGCCAAGCTTAAAGCATTCCTAGGTCTCATCGAGTATTACAGCAAGTTTATTCCGCACTGTTCAACCATAGTCGAGCCTCTGCGGCGCCTACTGCGAAAAGGCGTGCGTTTTGTCTGGTCCCCTGAAGCTCAGGCGAGTTTTGAGAGAGTTAAGGCGAGCATCCAGAATGCTCCCATCTTATCCATGTTCGATCCGTCCTTGCCAGTCGTAGTATCGACTGATGCCTCTAACTACGGTCTAGGCGCTGTACTTCAGCAACGAGCCGGGAGGCATCTTCAAACAGTTGCTTTCGCTTCCAGGTCGCTCACCGACGCTGAGCGTAGATATTCCACAGGTGAAAAAGAAGCCCTAGCTTGCCTATGGGCGTGTGAAAAATGGCACGTTTACCTATGGGGACGTCCATTCACCATTCGTACAGATCACCAGGCGTTGGTGACGTTACTCTCTAACAAAGGCTCAGGAGTACGTCCGCTGCGTATCACCAGATGGGCATCTCGTTTGTTAAACTACAACTTCCGTATGGAGTATCAGAAAGGTGTTGATAATCTAGTAGCAGACGCCCTGTCTAGGCTTCCCAGTCCTGATACCGAGAACGGTATGTTTTTCGAAGAGGACGTAGTATCCCTAGTCATTGCTCCCTTGTCTCGCACAGATTTTCAGACAGCTACAGCCAATGATCCAGTTCTGCCTGGTGTGATACGGTATACTATGTCGACATGGCCACCGGATAGTGCCAGTGTGCC